TGCCACCCCTACTGCACTGAAGGCTGGGAAAACACGTCATTAGCTCTTATAGGCTCTTCAGGAAGAAAGACAAGAGGGAGGGGATGGGGCATGGGAAATAGGTGAGCTAGCAACAGTGTCTGCTACAACTGGCATATACCTGTATCTATCTATCCATAGCTACCCATATCTATAGGTATTTCTATATATGTCCCCAGATTTATATATTGTATGTATAGTATATATATATATATATATATATATATATGTATATGTATTCAGAATTGAAGGACCATGTGCCTATTTTAGAAAATAGAATTTTTTATGTATACTGTATTTTATTCTGTAAGAAGAGCTGCATAACAACAGTTACAGTCTATGCTTTAAATTCATGTATCATTGCAATAGAGCCCTTTCCATTTTCCTTTTTTTCTTTTTTTAAATATATTTTATTGATTTTTTACAGAGAGGAAGGGAGAGAGATAGAGAGTTAGAAACATCGATGGGAGAGAAACATCGATCAGCCCGCCTCCTGCACATCTCCTACTGGGGATGTGCCCGCAACCCAGGTACATGCCCTTGACCGGAATCGAACCTGGGACCTTTCAGTCCGCAGGCCGACGCTCTATCCACTGAGCCAAACCGGTTTCGGCTCCATTTTCCTTAACATAGTGCACAATAGGTGAAATCTAGAATTCGTATACTTAAAGCTCACAGAGACTTGAATGTTCTTTGGACTTAGAATGTTGTGAACACTGAGTCACTCCTAGAATCAGCAGCTGTAATCTCCAGCTGAGATCAAAATCCTCATCCTTGGCTAAAGAAAAGAAACTTTGAGATTTGATTGGATTCTTGTTCATCAGGATAACAGGGATTGAGCAAGTTATAAGGAGACATTCTATCAGGCCAAGTGCCTTCAGTGGAATTGCCTGTTCCAAAGAGAACCGGGTTTGCTGAATATATCTAGTTATCTTTTCATTGCAAAGTCTTTTGAAGAATACAGGGCCCTCCTCTACTAACCCAAATGAGAAGCCACAGAAAACCCCTGTGAGAAATGTTTAGGGAAGAATTGGTTTACTTGGATTTTAATGACTCTGTGACTAGTTTGCAGGTGCTCCTTGTTAACCAGGTTTAAAATGTGCAAGCTGTTGCCCTGACTGGTTTGGCTCAGTGGATAGAGCGCCGGCCTGAGGACTGAGGGGTCCCGGGTTTGATTCCGGCCAGGGGCATGTACCTTGGTTGCGGACACATCCCCAGTAGGAAGTGTGCAAGAGGCAGCTGATCGATGTTTCTCTCTCATCGATGTTTCTAACTCTCTATCCCTCTCTCTTCTTCTCTGTGAAAAAATCAATAAAATATATTAATAAAAATAAAAAAAATAAAATGTGCATGCTGTGGTTCATGTGGCATGACTGTCTAAAGAAGTCAATCACAAGAGTGATAGGAACAGCATTACATTTGGATGTTGCCTAATTTTCAAATAAAGGTAAAAGGTTGATTCCCTAGGAATGAAACGAGCCTTAGTAAATACCCATCATGTGATGGCAAGTCGCCTGTAATCTAGTTTCAGTTAATAAGGAAACAGAATGAGAATGAGAAAGTTTAGGACATGTGGCTCTCAGAAATCAAGGTGGGGTGTGTGTTCCTATGTGTGAATAAGTAACAATTCAGGGCGCTTTCAGGAACTGTCATTTCCAGTGATATTGGAATGTATTCCTTTACCAAACAATCATTGCTTTCAGTGTAAGATGCCGCTCTAGGACTTGTGTGGCTAGCGCTGTGATGTCCAGTGACTACCACTTGCCCAGAGAGAGGAATATGTATTGATTGTGATACCACCTGGGGGTTAATGTCAAATTCTTTTTTTTCTTCATAAATCAAAATAAGTATTTAGCAGCCCTGCACAATTCCCAAGTAAATGTTAAAGAGTAATAAGCCCTATGAGGGGTCCTTAAAAGTGCAAAACTTGGATGCAGGGAATTTTATACCTTGTGACTGACAGTGTTGGAAGGCTATATGCACCAGGTTTCCCTTTTTTGCAATCGATCTTGGAAAAAGAACTACATTGTTTAACTTCAGGGACATTGAGTTTTAAATGTGGTTTTAAAAAATTGAATAAGATTATTTAATCCAACCTTTTTTATAGGTAAGAGAACATAAAGTGATAGAAACAGGTGAAATTCAGATGTTTCCATATCTGCTCTCCTATATTTTCTCCAGTGTGCCATGGGGCCTCAGTGTGTGTGTTTGCGTTTATATTTACATTTGGTTTGAAACCCTCTCATACCTGAGCAGCAATAATTCATAAATTTTTGACATCTAAATTTCTGATTTAAAAATTCAATTTCCTGCCATTCATATTTAATCAGTACCTCTCCGATGATTGTCCTCAAATTTCAAACCTGGGATTATAGATCCCAGGGGGCATTCAGAAAAGAGAATTTGTGCCTTTTCTTTAGAGAATTCTTGAAAAGTATAGATAATAAGCTTGACAAAATTACAATTCATCTATCTTTAGTTAGACATTTTAATCTGAGCCGAGCCTAATATGCTTCTCTAATTATAGTGATATATTCTCCAAATTACAAAACAAGACACATGGCCCGACACATGGTCTTGGAATTCTAGATGTTTGGTACAGTAATATTTGCTTAATGGTAAGCGAAATTATTCTCTGGGGCACATGAAAAATCAAGTGTTTCTCTTGGTAAGCTATTCCCAAAATATCCTACCTAGTTTCTTGCAATGTCTGCGCTTAACTAATTATAAAATTAAAAACACTTGCCGAAACCGGTTTGGCTCAGTGGATAGAGCGTCGGCCTGCGGACTGAAAGGTTCCAGGTTCGATTCCGGTCAAGGGCATGTACCTGGGTTGCAGGCATATCCCCAGTGGGAGATGTGCAGGAGGCAGCTGATTGGTGTTTCTCTCTCATCGATGTTTCTAACTCTCTATCTCTCTCCCTTCCTCTCTGTAAAAAGTCAATAAAATATATTAAAAAAAAATATCAAAATTAAAAACACTTTTAAAATACCAAATGGAATTAATGTTCATTATAGAAAACAACCAGGAAATATGAGCAAAATAAGAAAACACTGAACAAATAACATATTATAAAATTCTTTAGTGCAAAGAAAGGGGCCTATTAATTTTAAATGCTTCCATACTTTCACAATCAAATCCCATTCTTCCTTGTTTACAACTAAAAAAGCCCAAACACTAAAAAAAAAAAAAAAATTAAAGAGTCACCGAGTAAAACTTCTATGTCCTTACTAAACGCTGCCTGAGTTTTAGGAATCTGTATAATAAACATGAAATCGGTCACCTGACCACTCTCACCCTCATCTCATTCCACACACCCATCTTCCCTCCCTTCTCCCGCTCACACGCATTGGGACTTGAAAAATATCCCTTTTCAATTCGGTTCTTTCTAAAAAGGGGGGGCGGGGGGCGGGAGGGGGAAGATATGGCAGAAGCCACGAGTGTCAGGGCAAAGAAAAAGGCCACATCCAGCTTTTGCGTCCATAAAGCGCAAAGCCTCTAGGCCTAACACGTAAAGCGGGTTTGTGCCCAAGCTGGTCTACACAGCCGGCCCCGCGGACACCCCATTCCTCGACGAGTTTCACTTTAACTTCCTTCAGCAGGTTGAGAACGAACGCCCCACACTTTTAAGGGGAAGGCGGCGCCCAACTGATGGTTTCCCGGAATCTCGCCTTGAGTGCAGAGCAGAGGGGAGAAGGGAAGGCTAGGCGATGGGCGTTTCATTCATTGCTCTCTTCCCCTCCTCCCACGCTTCCCTCCCCTAGACTTTCTCTCCCCGTTTCCAGTGCGAGTTTGACGTCGGTCTCCAGGATACCAGACAGCCAATCGCCTGGTTGCTAAGGGAGACGCGCGGCCAATCGGGCGTCGTTGCTACCTGTAATATTTTTAGCCGGGAGGGACTCTCGGTTCCACTCCCAACGTCAACTTCGTGTATTTCTCTGCTGCAGGTTGTGAAAAAGGGCGCTCTCCCCGTCTCCCTTGAGTCTCTCTCTCTCTCCCACTCAGACATATTTCAACCGAAAATTATCTTTAACGCACATTACAGGAAGGCACCGTGTTTAATACGTGTGTTTGTGTTCAAGCAGGCACTTGAAACACACGCAGAGATATATACACATAGATATGTTTGCAAGTTGGCACGGAGGCCTGGGTTGGGACATTGGGAATAAAATGCAATTCTTCTTGCAGTCTCACCCCAGCCCTCCGTCCGAGTGCCCGCCCGGGAGGTCTGATGTGGAATGCGGAGGCAGTTAAACTGTCACCCGGGCGGGAGGTGTGGCCTGGTGGTCTCCCCCCACCCCCAGCCTGACACGGCTGCTTGGGGTTCTGCAGTTGTCACCCTCTGGGTGGCAGTTGGCTTGGGCCCCGGAGGTGATTAATATTCAATCGATCGGGTGCACGAGTCCCCGTCACCGTTCGCCCTTTCTCTAGGCTCTCCCGGGTGCACGGGAGGCCGACCTGGTAGCTTGCCCACGAGTGGGATTTTCCTCGCCACAGTCCCACTCGGGTAGGGCCACTTTCTGTAAACTCTCCCCTCCCAGCTCTCCCCGCAGCTTCGCCACCTGCTTCGCTCCCCTCCCCCTTCTGCCTTGCGCTCTCCGCCTCAACCCAGAGTCAGCCGCCCCACCCTGCCTGTCACCCTTACAGGCACGTTTCTCCCCCAATCCCTTTCCAAGTTGTGTGTTAATCCCGCCCACGAGACTCCATATCGTCGGTTCATTGGCCACCCTGGAGCCCGAGAGGTGAGGCCTGGGCCACCCTGGCCCTCGCTGCCCGTCAGCACCAGGGCCGGCGGGACCTGGCCAATGGCATCGGGGGGCCGGGCAGGGGCGGAGCCCGCGGTGAGGGTCCGGCTAGGGTCCGGGAGGGCGGGGATTGGTTACACCGCCCCGAGCTGTGTGACGCCAATGGGCGCGCGCGCACCCCGAAGGGCGGGGCTGGGGGCGGGGAAGAGGCTATAAAATGAGAGGTGGGGCGCGCGCCGCGGCAGAAGGAGTCAACCTCTGGCCCGGCGCGGAGTGGGTGCATTGCGGGGAGCTGGGCCGGGCGCCGGGCTGTGTGGAGACGTGAGCGCGCTCGCTGGACCCCGTCCTCGCCACCCCGAGTCCGAGGGCCGACCCCCCGAGGCCAGCACCCGGGCCCCTGCCCTCCGCCGGCCACGTCGTCGTGCACTCAGCCAGCTCGCCGCCGCGGAGCCTCCCGCGCCCCCGCCCCGCTGCCCCTTCTCCCCCGCCCGGCGGCCGGGTCTGCGGCGGAAGCAGCCCGTAAGTATCCCGGGGTGGCAGGCGGGGCCCGGAGGGGGAGGGGTGCAGCGGCGGCGGGCACCCGGCTCTCGGGGTGCGGGGACGGCGGCGTCGCGGCCCCGGCGCGGAGGGGAGCGGCTCCAAACATCCGGCCCCTGGCAGCTCCGAAGGGCCCCGGCGCGCCCGGAGGCGGGGCCGGCCGGCGCGTCGGGCTCAGCTGGGCCGGGTGACCGGGGAAGGGGGAGCCCGAGGCGAGCCGACGGGCCTCGGGGGTGGGGGCGCCCGGAGGGAGCGGCGGGCTCGAGGGGAACGCCGGGGTCCTCGGGATCCTCGGGGCGTGTGGCCGCCGCGGCTGAAAATGGTGCGGCGGAGCCGGTGCTCCCCAGGCTCTGGCTGGGTCCCAGGAGGCTCGGGGCCGGGGGCGGAGAGCGGCGGGTCCGGTTACGCGGGGGGAGGGGAGCAGCTGACCCGGGGCGGCCGGCGCCCCGACCTGCCCCGGCGCCTGGCCCCGAGCGGCTGCCTTTCCATCTCTCGTGGCCGTCCTCCCCCCACCCTTCTCCTCCCCATCCTCCCCATCCTCCTCCTCCTCCTCCGGCCGCCGCTGGGTTCCGAGGGCTGTGAGCTGCAATCTAATGAGACCCGACCGGCTGTTTATGTAATTGTCCGGCCTCCAGGCTCCTTCCAAACACCTTCCGCGAGCCCGCATCGCGCTCGTCCACACCTTCAAACAATTAGGCGTCATCGGCCGCCCCCGCGGCACCCAGGCTTCTGGCGGGGGCAGCGTGTGTAGTTTGGGGGCAGCCAGAGAGCCCTTTCCCTTTGTCACCACGAACATGGTGCCTGGGCAGATGGGGGCATGCCGGCTTGGTTTCTAAACGTCCCTTTAAACCAGCCTCGGGGTACACACACAGCTCCTTCGCGACATCGTCTGTTTGCCCTTGATCTTTCCTTATCCCCACCCAGTGCTGATCCAGCACACGTTTAAAGGTCGACCTGGTCGGGCAGGACTCCCCGGCGGTTCTCTTATCGGGAGGGAGGGAGGAAGGGAGGTGGTTTTGAAAATCAGAATAAAACTCAGAAACCCTGCCCATTAGACAGGTTAATAAATAGTTTTGAAATGAAGTGTGGCTTCTGTTATATGTGCTGTCGAAGAGGTATTTTTCAGAAAGATATATATGGCAAAGAAGAAGCTCAGTTGTGTGCTCTTCAGTATATGCAAGACCTCAACTGTATAGGATAATTCGGTTTGAAGCAGTCGCTAAAATGGCAATTCATTTAGTATATAGTACCTTTAATTTTAGCATAATGTACTTTGGAAATTAAAATAAGCCTCTGAACTTCTCAAATTTCTAAATGTATAACAATAAAGGAGATTTAAGCAGTTTCAATACATATCCAAAATGAACAGAAACACAGAATTCACTTCTAAATTGGTGAATAGGAATACTACCAACTTCTAAAATTGGCATATATGTATATATATATGTAGGTGGATGGATATTCTGAGTATAGTTTTCAGTAAACATTCTTGTGTAAATTGAGGGAAGAAAAAGAAGGAATATGCTACATATTCCGAACATGTTTTTATTCTTAGAACTCTATTCCAAAACAATTATAGGGTTAAAATATTGTTTTCACTGGAAGTCCTGTTTTCCCATGATATTTTGAAGTTTAATAAACAATTTCTACTGTATAGGCCTGTATTTTGTACTGATTATATTTTTCAGACTTTCTATCCTGTTAGACTTTTTCAAAAGTGACATTATTCCGGGGGTAAAAACAGGCTGTGGGACTTAACATTTAGCTCATTTGTACATGTTTGCTTTTGTTTTGTTTTCTTTAAGGAACAAGACCTCTCAAGGTGAAGGATAACCTACTATACCAGCACTTTGAATGAAAATTTGTTTCTCTGCCACAAACTGAACACTTTTGGTTTCCTCCGGTGTGTGGGGGGGGAGTTGAAACACAAATCTAACTTTGTGGCATAGCAGCTATGCAGCTTGAAATCCAAGTAGCACTAAATTTTATTATTTCGTATTTGTACAATAAGCTACCCAGGAGACGTGTCAACATTTTTGGTGAAGAGCTTGAAAGACTTCTTAAGAAGAAATATGAAGGGCACTGGTATCCTGAAAAGCCATACAAAGGATCAGGGTTTAGGTGTATACACATAGGGGAGAAGGTGGACCCCGTGATTGAACAGGCGTCCAAGGAGAGCGGTTTGGACATTGACGACGTTCGTGGCAACCTGCCACAGGATCTCAGTGTGTGGATCGACCCATTTGAGGTTTCCTACCAGATTGGCGAGAAGGGACCAGTGAAGGTGCTCTACGTGGATGACAATAATGAAAACGGATGTGAGTTGGATAAGGAGATCAAAAACAGCTTTAACCCAGAGGCGCAGGTTTTTATGCCCATAAGTGACCCAGCCTCGTCAGTGTCCAGCTCCCCATCGCCTCCCTTTGGCCACTCAGCTGCTGTAAGCCCGACTTTCATGCCCCGGTCCACTCAGCCATTGACCTTTACCACTGCCACTTTCGCTGCCACCAAGTTCGGCTCTACCAAAATGAAGAATAGTGGCCGGAGCAACAAGGTGGCACGCACTTCTCCTATCAACCTTGGCTTGAATGTGAATGACCTCTTGAAGCAGAAAGCCATCTCCTCCTCAGTGCACTCTCTCTATGGGCTTGGCCTGGGCAGCCAGCAGCCGCAGCAACAGCAGCCCTCGCAGCCGCCGCCGCCGCCACCGCCGCCGCAGCAGCAGCAGAAAACCTCTGCTCTTTCTCCTAATGCCAAGGAATTTGTTTTTCCTAATATGCAGGGTCAAGGTAGTAGTACCAATGGAATGTTCCCAGGTGACAGCCCCCTTAACCTCAGTCCTCTTCAGTACAGTAATGCCTTTGACGTGTTTGCGGCCTACGGAGGCCTCAACGAGAAGTCTTTTGTAGATGGCTTGAATTTTAGCTTAAATAACATGCAGTATTCTAACCAGCAATTCCAGCCAGTTATGGCTAACTGAAAGAAGAAAAAAATGTCGTAAAAGTTAAAAGTACAAGTTAAAATGCTTGGGCCCAAGGAGGGTTTTTTTTTTCACCTCCTTGAGATTTTTTTTTTTTTAAGCGTATAGTAAAGATACATTCAAGCTTGGTTACAAAAATAAAACATGCATCATTTTTCATTTGCCAACCAAGCACAAAGTTATTTTATACTGACTGTATATTTTAAAGCATACTCCCAGATATACAGTATGGCCTCTTACAGTATTTAAGATATAGCAAGGACATGGCTGATTTTTTTTCTTTTTATAAAAAATTGGCACTAATAAGTGGGTTTATTGGTCTTTTCTAATTGTATAATTTAATTTAGTACAAAGTTTGTAAAATATCAGAGGATATATATATTGTTTCTACGACATGGTATGCATTTATATCTTTTTACTACAGTGATCTGTGACAGCAGCAGCTTCATGTTGTATTTTTTTTACTGAAATTGTAAAATATCCATCTTAAAGACATCAACTATTCTAAAAATTGTGTACAGGATATTCCTTTAGTGGTGGAATTAAAATGTACGAATATTTGCTTTTTCAAAAAATGTATTTTCTGTTAAAGGTTTAAAGATTTTTGCTATATATTATGGAAGAAAATGTAATCGTAAATATTAATTTTGTACCTATATTGTGCAATACTTGAAAAAATGGTATAAAAGTATTTTGAGTCAGTGTCTTACATGTTAAGAGGGACTGAAATAGTTTATATTAAGTTTGTATTAAAATTCTTTAAAATTAAAAATGCTTTTTGTGGTCTTTTAAGCCTTTGCCAAAGATCTCTCTCTGGAGTTAATGACATTATACATGTTAATAATGCAGAAAGATCTGACTCATTGAATCCCAAAGGAGTGATGGAAAGCAGCTGCTCTACTAGTGCAGCAGATAGTCATTTGCTACCTACAAAGTTGTCCTATCGAAACTCCATAGCCTGACCACTGCTTGGGACAGCCTTTCTTTTTTGGCACCTCTCTCCAGTCCCTATCTGTCTCCCCTTGCTAGGGATAGTATGCTAAAGCTAGTCACAGCAAGCTTTAAAATGTGTCATGCTGACATCCAAGGTGATAAAATGAAATTCTCCCCTGTAATCTGAGAGGATTTATTTGAAATGTACATTGGATCGGTTTTCTGTTTCTGTGTAGGAGATGAACAGCTCATAAAACTTGCTTGGACAAAGCAGCTGACCTAACTTGACAAAAAGATTTAGGTCTGTTTACTAATCCTTTTACTTAAAGTTCAGTCATTGTATGAAGTTGGAGAGTTTATGATCTAAATCTATTCAAGATTGGACAGGTTACTAAATATTAGCATTTGTGTGCATTTTCCCAGCATATTGTTTTTATTTTTTTATGACAAATTGGATAGCCAACCCGCTGGCTTGGGGTTTTTTAATGGTTAGCCATTGATAATGTGTGTCAAATTGTAGTGGCTTGTTAAGGATGGAGTTTTTAAAAAACAGATGACTTGGGAGGGACACTATTTAAATGAGTCATTTAACTGTTTAATTGTCCATTGGTGCACTGTTGACATAGTATTGGTGACAAAATTTCTTGAGTGGGAAGAAAAAATAACGTTCTCTGTGCTTTTATAGTAAGAAACCAGCACTGCCTGGCTTACTAGTGAAATAAATTTGGTGTCAAGTGAGTTTTTGGACATCAGTCTACAAAAGCCTTTTGTCTGTTACCCAAGCAGTTCAGAGCAATAAAATGTTTTAAGGAAACAAGCACTGAAAATAACAGAGCTAACTAAGCTTTTCTGTCAGCTCCATGGTGAGGCCTTTGTCCTCCAGTGGACAGAATGAGGCTACAAAGAAGTATTGGGATAGTGAGTGGAAGCAGCAGATCTGGCCTGCCACACTATCAATTATGTGCTTTTGTGATCACATCACGAAGTTTGAATAGCTGTAAGAGCACAATCCGCGTAATGGCTGTAAGCACTGTTTTCTGCTGGAGACATTTGGTTGATGTTACCATAGGCTTAACTTGGAAGAAAACTCCCTTTTTATAAATGAAGAAAGGCTCAAGTTAACATACTTTTTCCTGATAATTAGAATAAGCTGGTCACTAGATAGGCAATAGAATTTGTAACAATCTGGAACACAAATATGTATATATGTATATATTTAGATTTTAAATAATAGCACTTTAAGAATATCAGATCTTAGGAGGTGTATATTGACAAAAAAAAAAAAAAAAATCTTAGGGAAATTTCACCCTGGCTGATGTGGCTTGGTTGGTTGGAGTGTTGTCTCCATTCACCGAAAGGTTTTGGGTTCAATTCCCAGTCAGGCCACATGCCCAGGTTGCGGGATCGATCAATGTTTCTCTCTCCCTTCCTTCCTCTCTCTTTTAAAATCAATAAAAACATGTCCTTGGGTGAGGATTTTAAAAAAAAAATCTTAGGGAAATTTCATATTGGTACATATGTTCACTTGGCGCTTGAAAAGGACTAAATTTTATCTTTATTGGTTTTAAGAAAATCATTTGATTTGAGCTTGAGAGCTTTATGCTTTTTCTCTTTAAATAATGAACAACGGCTCTGTTTCCATGCTCGTTTGGAATGGAAGCTTTTTCAAAGGTGTTTTTTCTAACACACCTTAGAAAAGCTTACATCTTAGTTCCAAATCTTTTTCCCCATTTGCCATCGCATTGTTGACAAGTTGACGAGTTACATCTTATTCGGTCTCTCCTATCTTTCTGACTTCAATAACTAGATATTTAGCAGCTTTGAAAAGGCCTTATCCTGATGTCCAAAATACTGCCTTATAGATGCATGGCTCATCGATGAGGGAAAAGGATGGTACTAAAAAGTAGCCCTGGGTTTAGAATATTCCTTTACTGCTCCTCTTTTCTACCTAAAATCAGGTGTCTTGTTCAGTCCTCTTTGAATAACTTGAACCTCTTAGATGGCAAATGTACCCCTTCAGTCAAAATGCCCCTTAGAGATAGTGGCAGTATTTACATTGCTGCTTAGCTTCTGAAGGTAACGCTAAAGGTGCCCCGGGTTTTAAATAGTTTTCTAACGTGTGGTGAGTGTTCATTCTCAAATAGGTGTCATGTCGGGCACTTTGAGAGACTTGTTAATCTAGCAAATCTTTAGGATTTAGGTTATTTTAAAATGTCACCAGCATAGAAAAAAGCATCTCTCTGGACAGACGTAAACTAATGAAGTGAAATGCATCCTCCACACCCTCTCCCTACGCAAACAGAAAAGCGCATAGCATGCACATCCACGATCTATCCTCATGTGACTCGAATGCGTGCTTTTATCAGAAGCAGGATAACAATCTGTAGTACAAGATCCGTTCAGAAAACAGCCTTATTTTTAAAAAATACGTTTTCATTCATTTCAGAGAGGGGGAGAGAAAAACATCAATGATGAGAAACACCATCAGTCAGCTGCCTCCTGCACGCCCTCTACTGGGGATCGAGCCCGCAACCCGGGCATGTGCTATTCATGTAGTATGAACTCTAGGTGCCATGTTACATTTCTAACCTAGTGCGCAGAAGCAGGGCTGACTTGGAACTCAAACTCAGGTCGTCTGGTTCCAGAGTTCATGCTCTTAAACTCTATGCTTTGTTCCCTCCGATTAGTTGCTATTGTAATTTGAAGTCAGTGGAATGAAGACCGTTTTTTTTAAAATATATTTTTATTGATTTTTTACAGAGAGGAAGGGAGAGAGAGAGAGAGTCAGAAACATCAATGAGAGAAAAACATCAACCAGCTGCCTCCTGCACACCTCCCACTGGGGATGTGCCCGCAACCCAGGTACATGCCCTTGACCAGAATCGAACCTGGGACCTTTCAGTCTGCAGGCCGACGCTCTATCCACTGAGCCAAACTGGCCTTGGCTGAAGACCGTTTTTTTTTTTGTTTTTTTTTTTTAAATATATTTTATTGATTTTTCACAGAGAGGAAGGGAGAGAGATAGAGAGTTAGAAACATCAATGAGAGAGAAACATCGATCAGCTGCCTCCCGCACATCCCCCACTGGGAATGTGTCCGAAACCCAGGTACATGCCCTTGACCGGAACCGAACCTGGGACCCTTCAGTCCGCAGGCCAACGCTCTATCCACTGAGCCAAACCGGTTCCGGCTGAAGACCGTTTTTGATGTATTAGCCAAACGACTTGTAGAATCTCCACGAGAGAGTTAATGAGAAGAGTCCGGTGGAAGGCGCTTAGCCATGCTCAGAAGTCATGATGTTTTGAGAGAGAGAGACTTCATATCTCTGGTGGTCATAAACTATAATCACAGGCCATCTGGAGGTATTTTTAGAAATCATTAACAATGCTCTAATTTTGTTGCTTTTCTTAATTCAATTGTGTAAATTCTCTCAATTTTATAACCACAGGATGACTCCCTCAGACTAAGGACTGCAGATGTAACGGCTCTCTCACTGCTAAGTAAAATTGTCTACATTAGACCTGTAGCTATTTTTACATACATTCCTTATCTGTGTTTATCGATAAACACAATAAGGAAAGGCTACGTCAGTTACCAAAATAGTTTTCAACAGTGTGCTTGTAGTACTTACGATTTATTTTAAGTTACTTTAAAAAACTATCTTAAGCCCGGCCGGTGTGGCTCACTGTAGAGTGTCAACCCATGAACCAGGAGGTACCGGTTTGATTCCTGATCAGGGCACATGCCCTGGTTTCGGGCTGGATCTCCAGTAGGGGATGGGCAGGAGGCAGCCAATCTGTGATTCTCTCTCATCATTGATGTTTCCCTCTTTCTCCCCCTCTCCCTTCCTTTATCTGAAACCAATAAAAACATATTTTTAAAAAGGATTATCTTAAGACACACCTTTGTAATTATATATGTACAGATGTTGTACTAAATGGTCTTTTTGCTTTTATTTTAAAACATAAATGAAACCAAATTATCTCTTGTTTCAAACTGGTTCTGAAAGCCTTTCTTGAAGAAATCAAAGTATATTTTAGTTTTAAATAAAAACTCACATTTTAGAAGCTTAAGCTATTATGGTGAAATGTAAGCTATTATGGGTGAACTTACATTTCCTTTTAGTGTTGCTGTTAGTTTTGAACATGTTTAAATTTCACAGTAACCAGAAAAAGCCATTTTAAAAATGGCTCAGAAGAATTTCTGGAGCTTCTCTATGAATTAAATCTTGTTATACTAAACTAGAGGCCCAGTGCACGAATTTGTGCACAGGTGGAGTTCCTCAGCCTGGCCAGTGATCGGGGCTGATCCAGGCTGTCTCACCCAGTCCTGATCTGGGCCGATCAGGGCCGCCAGCCAGGGGGAAGGACCGTGGGAGGTTAGCTGTGGGAGTGCACTGACCACCAGGGGGCAGCTCCTGCAGTGAGTGTCTTCCCCCTGGTGGTCCGTGCGCATCATAGCAACCGGTCATTTGGTTGACCAGTTGTAATGGTCGCTTAGGCTTTCATATATATAGATGCTTACTATTTAGATTTTGGATTAGTTAGAATTTGATTGGATCAAATATTAATGAACCCTTGGGTTTTTGGAGGTTTAGATTGGGCTAAAAGTTTTGTCATTAATGGTATTTGACTTGTAAATAATAAAGCACTACTAATCATTTCTCAATATTTGAGTTTTAAGATACCTTAGAAGAAAACATTGAGCCAGGAGGCAGCCCATGTCTAGAGGCTATTTGAAATTATGGGCCTAATTTCTTCTTTAAGCAAGTTAAGTCATTTGACTGAGATGGCTCAGTTTCTTCATCTGCAAAATGGGTATAGTGATCTCAATATAATT